TGGATACTCGAGCTCAGGTTTTGCTATTTGTAGTCGTACTTTGAAGTTAAGAGCTGAAAAAATAAACCGGTTGCCAGGTTCATAGGCGCTTTGTTTGAAAGTCGACGCGGTCTCGCCTTGTCGTAGGTACTTACTCGTACTTACCTTACTTATGTTTATAAGCTGCTCCTCCCCCCCCCCCCCCCCCCCCCCTTCTGCCAACCCACTCATTTGGCTATGCTAGTTTTTTGTTTTATATTTTTTAGAATACGCCATTTTTCACAATTTTTCTCGCCTCGAAATGCTTGACTGCGCGCGTCCTCAGTATTTGGAGTACTTTTCTAGTGGCCGTAACAGAATCAGGCTTTATAAAATACTACTCTAATAAACTTGTTTTTGGCTCGTTTGGCTTTCTGTTTTGATTATGCCTGTTGCTGCTGATGATGATAAAGGGTTTATTGACTTTGTTATGGTTTGTTATGCAGGTCATAAAATTAAACACTTAGACTAAGGGAGGGGCCTTGAAATTAACTGCATATTATGAAACTTTAAAGAAGAATAAGAGGTGAATATATGATAAACATAATTATAAAGCGCAAGAGAACTTAGGAAATAAAAGGTTGTAGAAAATATAACGAAAGAAAATATACTGCAACAAAAATATAAATGTATGAAAATTTTAAGTTTGTCCTTGATTCCATTGCCATTTGTTCACAAAGCCAAAAGCTCACTTAAACTGAATAAAAATTGCTTTATATCTGACGTGAAGTTCTACCTACTACTCTATTTCTCGCTCTTCCACTTAGCTCTTCAATATGAAACTCTTTCTCGTTCTGAACTCAGAGTAGGCACGCCCTTTAGCAGACATACCAAAAACTGTGGCCTAGGTATTAGCCATGACTTCAACCTGCGCATTGACAGCCACTTCTTGTTATTTGCTGATGTCTGCAAGCTACCATAAAAGTCGCAGCTTGGCTCAGCCATGAAACTGGTTGAACTTTAACAACAACAACAACAACAGCAACAACGGCAACAACGACGACAATCAAATTGCTTTTGGCTTGTTGGTGCATTTGGTGCACATTGCTGCCGGTTTCTCTTTTATGGCCAAGACAAGTTCTTGACACTCAAAAGCCCAGCGAGCAGACAGCAACGCCTACAGCCTAAATTGTATCTACAAGTGCGAGCGTTACTGTAGCTGTATCTGTGGCTGTACAGAAATCAGCTTTGAATGCCTGCCTGCCTGGCTGCGTAGCCTACCTTCAATCATTCAATCACTCATTCAATGCAATCTCAGTTGCAATTGCAGTTGCAGCTGACCGAGCCGATAAACGCAGGGGCAGTCAGCGAAGCGTGCCCCACACGCACACACACACCACACAACATACAACTACTAGATAGCCCCTCTACATTTCCCTAACTCTCTGCCCCCTGCGGCTCTGGAACTAGCAGTTAAGTTAAATGTAATTTAAAATCAAAACGCAGCCATTATTCGATTGCCCACATAATAAATGATGTAAAAAGTAGGCGGGCGATCACAAATCTCAGACACGGCAGAGGTCCGACAACGGGGATTGCGGGGGCCTAAAGAAATGTAGTCTACCAAATTATAACACGAAAAATGTTGTGTAGCATACTATAATATTTCATATTTATTTACGATCATTTCGCTCTGTTTGAATGCTCCGAAAACTGTGTTGAAAAATTGCAGCTTACCAGGCAACATTCGGAATAGACTTTTGTAATGCCAAATTGTAATTTTCATTTCTTATAATGAGCATTAAAATAGTTGCGTATTGTTATGTGCGCTATATTGAAATATATTTATGCTCGAAGGATTTTGGTTTGGCAAGAGGAAATAAAAGCATTGTGGAAATGATATTGGAAGTCGTGCAAGTACTTGTACTTTATATAACTTGGCCATTAAAAATATTTGGAAATATTTTATTACCAATTTTCTAAAGCTACATAAAACAAGTACTATTTAAAAAAGACCTGAGGTCCGCCATTCAGATAGGTAACATACTCTGCGTCTAATTCGATTTACCATGAACTTTACAAATAACATGATAAGTCTATGTAGAATACAGATATGAAATATATATATTTTGAAAATACTTTTAGTTAAGACACGAATAAAATGTCTGAATGCTTTAAGATCTAATTAACAAAGATAAATACGCATTAAAAAGTAATTAACCATGAACTTTGCAATGAACATAAGAAAATCAGCTGTTTATCGGTTAGTTACACTTTCTATTTAACACTAGGCAATTTTCTGTCTGCTTCTACCAATACACCCGATTTACTTTCACGACAGGGCATTAAAACGCGAATTAAAAGCATTTACTTATGTAGATGGCGATAAGTCAGCGACAAATTTACGGCAAACAAATGCAAAACCCGAGACCTAACTGGCTGCCTCAAATGTAGTTATAAAGCAGCAGCAGCAGCAGCCTTTGGCCTGGGCCACAGACACTGCTGTCCAGTTAATAGCGACTGCTGTGCGGGCGCCTGGTGCGAGATGGCGATTTGCCGACTACTGTGCGAAAAAATCGGGGTGTGCACGCCAAAAAAAAAAAAAATACTAAAAAAAAAAACAAATGCAAAATAAAATGTAAAAAACAAAATTGTGTAAATGGTCTCTCACTCAACTGTTTTGAGCGTTAATTTACGCCAACTGTTTGGCCAATGCACGTTGTCTGCTTTCAGTTTCATTATGACTCGAAACAAGCCGAAAAATCATGCAATTGCAGTTGTCGTTCTTGTTGTTGCCAAGCTGCATGCAGATTGCAACATTCATTTTGTATCTTTCGGGTTGCTGCTGCCGCTGCTGCCGCTGCTGTGGTTAATCATATTTCGGTTGTTGTTGTTTCTGCCATTAAATTAGCAGCTGCACACAAGTTGCTTTCAAAATGTTACTTGCAGGATACGAGTGTATTTCAAATGCAGCCGCCGCAGCACCACAAAACTTGTGCATGTGCAACGTTGCGTATGCGCAATATTTTGCTTTTGACAACGGCTATTGGGCGACTGATTACAGCTGGCGCTAATTGTTGTTGTAGTTGTGAGTGCTTTTTGTCTCCTTGACACTTATGAGGTCTTTTTGGGTTTTATTGTGCCAGCTTTGCCATGCTCATTGCAAGTTTAATATGAACTTCAACATGAGGTCGCTCTCCATCATGTTGCTGGGGTTTTTAGGTTTATCTTTTGCTTTCCGAATTATTAATTCCGAATATTTAACAGCTAGTCCGAAATATGCAACTAAAATGATCCTCAACATTAAACTTTCTCTTATTTGATTTTGCTATGCTCATTTGCAACTTTAACATAGACTTTACCATGAGGTCCCAATTGATTTCGTTTGCTTATAAAATCCATTAGCTTTTAATTCGTAGTTTTTTTTATTTCTTATTTTAATAGCTATTGAAACTAGGGCTAGCATCAGGTGTACAATAATTCACACTATAAATTAAATGATGACAAAAAACATTTGCATGCTTTGTTGTCCGATTTTAATACGTCAATAACAATTGACTAACGAGAGCACTAAAAGTTTATGAACTATCGCTCAGCATACTGTGGCAAGTTTCGCATTTACAATTTGGCCCATTCATTGACTCTGTCAATTTATTTTACAGCCCTATCAATAAAAGTTGCTTCAGTCTTATTACGTGTACGCGAGAGCGTTGTTAAAGATTTGCCACAATTAATTCAAGTGCCTGTACAACTGATTTTTATATTTATTTGCTTTAGTGTCTGTTGCCTACTTCGGCACACAAAATAAATAATAGCTCGTACATAAAATACTTATTGATGCCATATAAATCAGCGCAACAGCTGCTGAGTAATAGATATTATTTCTTTTTAGCGCTTTCACTTGCTGATTTTTTTTTGCTTTTTATGAGCTTTTCAATTTTCAATGTTTTTGTTTTTTATTTGTTTAATTTTTTATTCGCGTCTCATTTGGCGCGCTTTCAACGGGTTATTTATTTTTATTTATTTAAGAGGCAAATGCAATTGTTTTGGCTTAATTTAAGTATTATTTTTAATTTTGTCAGACTTTTGCTTTTATTATTTTTGTTAATTTATGTCACACGTGCTGTGCAGTAAATTTATTTAACAAAATTGCTTATTTGTGACTTTTGTAATTTAAACAATAAGTTCATTGATTTATTACAAGAAAATAATTTCATTTATTATGGCTGTGGCTGTATTTTAAGAGTCTTAAAGCATAAATAATTGCAGTCGTAATAAATTAAATATACTCGACTTTTTATGCGAGACCATCCTGAAATGAAAACGAAACCCAAATAAAGCAAGGAAGTTTTTGTTTTTATTCTTGTTCCTTTTTCAAGGCGCATTTATGTGAATATTAATGCAAAACTGCACATGCATGCAAATTGCATATTTAAATGAAATATCAGCGACGTGATACACAATAACACACCCCGTATCAACCCGACTGTTCCGATACGATCCTCCAAACGTCGACACTTTCGTTTTTTTTTCTTTTTTGTCTTCTCTTTCCCCCCTTTTAGTGGTTTTCAAGGGGAGCGGCAGTTAAGTCTTTGATATATCGCCCGTCTTTAGCTTTGCCAAATGCTAAATTTATGCTGTTTAATATGATTTTGATTTGTTGTTCGGGCGCAACAAGTCGAGTGTTTACCATTTATTTGTACAGCTGATTTATGTGCGAAGCGGACCCTTGAGTTCGGTTTGTTTAGCGTCGGCGACCATTTATTGTATATAAACCACAACAACATTAACTAATATTGTGCGGGCATAAAAGGAAAATTAAAAATATGTTTATTTAAGAAAATAGTGTCAAAAAATATTTTGTAAGAAACAAAAAATGTTCTCAAATTAAAACTCTTCAGCAAAATATATTTTTAATAGATTATATTGTAGAAGTAGTAAGTCAAAAATTCTAAATTTTTTTTTATCCAATATTCAGCCCTTTTAATTCAATTATTTGGAGAAAGAAATTGCCAAAAAATAAGTTTAATCAGATTACAATCAGTAGTTGTCTTAATGGTCCAGTCATTCAAGCAAATGATCAATGTGGAACTGGGACCGGATCTAAGGCTAGTGTATATAGTATCTATATAGTAACATGTTTTGGCTGAAGACCTAAGTGGATAGTTTGTAATTGTAGAAAATCATATTGGGTTGGTATCTAAGTTTTCGCAGCGCTTAAAATCCAAATCCGATCAATCAAGTTTTTTGACTTGTGCAATGGTCCAGTCATTCAAGCAAATGATCAATGTGGAACTGGGACCGGATCTAAGGCTAGTGTATATAGTATCTATATAGTAACATGTTTTGGCTGAAGACCTAAGTGGATAGTTTGTAATTGTAGAAAATCATATTGGGTTGGTATCTAAGTTTTCGCAGCGCTTAAAATCCAAATCCGATCAATCAAGTTTTTTGACTTGTGCAACTCCATGTGCTCTGCCCATACATTTCTTCCTATCTATCAATGTTGCAACTTCGTTGCAGTTAAATTCCCATAAATTATCGCTACCTGACAAGTGATTCACACGCCCCCAATTACTGATTGGGGCCCCTAGCCTATGGATCACCTTTTACAACGCTTATCAGTCAGACATTTGTTGACAGCGATAAGGTGGCAGGCGCTACATTAGAATTCCCTGGATTTAAATGGAATTTCAATTATCATTTAGTTTAGATACACGCAACGTAAATCATTTATTTATTGTACTTAGTTTTGTAATGTTATGATAAGAATAGCTTTTGGAAATATGTGTGTGAAACGGATTGTCAAAAATTTGGGTCAACTGGCTCTACTTTTTAGGGCTGAACAGGTTTGTGAACTTATTTCGAAACGGCTTGACGAGCATTTGCGATAAGGGCTGCTTGTGGATTAGTATAAATAAATTTGATTGATGGATTGCTGAGCTCAGGGCAAAGTGTATACTCGAATAAGCATATTATTTTAATTTCTATATATAATACTGCTGCATTATTGAAAATTTGCTACATTAGGTTTCATATTTTCATCTATTTTAAATATGTGTATGCATAAATAATATTAATAGGTTTTATATTTTTTACAGAAAACCTTATGTACAGGAGTTACATATATTGAGAAACTTGAGCCATATCTTCAACCAATATTGGGTAAGTTTTCTATTAATCCTTAAGTTACACCAAAGCTTATATGTATAGGGAATCGTAGATGCACTGTTTAATTCCACACCCAGCACCTAAAACCGGCATTGATGGCATTCCATAAAAAAAAGTGCCCAACAGAAATCTCATTTGTGCAACTTCTGGCACATTAACATTCACATATTTGGTGCTACATTTCCATTTAGTTTCAATTTTAATGAAAATTCCTGCACAGAACATTTAGCTGCATTTCAGATGTAAACGCAACTGCGCGATTATCAGATTAAATTGTTGAAGCAGCTGTGCGAATGGCGCACAATCTGAACCTGAACCAGATATCATTTAGCCCCACAGTAAATAATTAGAATTATGCAGAACTGACTACCGACTTTGGCTTAATTAAAATTTATGTGTAATAAATTCGAATTAATAATAATTGTCGCATAAACGTTATGAATATTTCAACTATTGAATTAACATGCAACGCAATTTATGCAGCCAACAATTTCCCAATGATAGTGTCGCCAAATGAAGGCGTATTCGCATTCAATGTGCCCTTTTCTACACATGTATAAATATTGATCAGCGAGTAAAATAATTCGCAGAATATTTACAATTAACTATTGTTCATACGCTTTGTTTGTGTCGTTGTTGTGAGTTTTCTTGAATGCCTATTTAGACATTCGCTAGTATGGGGCACAAGTCAAGAACACGTGATGAGAATTCAATTGAAGAGCTGCACTTGATAGGTGATTAGACCATCTTCAACTTAAGCACATGATAATTGCAAAAAGAGTTTTATTGGCATTAGATAAGTACTGAGAACAAGTTAAGTTAATCAGTTAGACATAAAGCGCTTTAGAAACGCGCACTTGCTAAATTATTAGACAATTTGCTTTAAGTAGGCAAATGAGAATTGCAAAGAGAGGCCCATTAAAAGAGAATCAATTAGTAAGAATAGCTTGGAAGGGCTCGGCAGCTTAGTCGAACTGCGTGTGTAAGAACTTGGAATTGAAATTGAGAAGCCTAACATTATAAAGCTGTAGCTAATTGCAGCGCAATAAGCTGCTGCATTTAATAGGAAAGCAAATTTAACGGCTCTCATTTCTCAAGTAATACGATTCACTTACAACGTCTAGTTTTTTTTTATACAATTGCAAATACAATATGATATGCCTTGGATTTCATTTGAAACCTCAAAATAGCGATAAGAACCATTTAAACAAAGACCTTTAAAACGTCGCATGGGCAACCTTGTGGGACCATACAATATTCACACACACACTCATATATATATATAATCGAAATCGATTTCGAATTACGTGTGTTACAAAACTGCAAAAGGAAACAAAGCAATTCACTTGAGAGACGCGTGAAAGTTAACCTTGTATGCGAGTGAGTTTGTTCGTTTGTCTGTGCAGGAAGCTGAAACATTCAGCATAGCTGACAAATCACAGTGGGGAAATGTAAACATCAATGTGCTTTAACCACAAAACGAGCAATCAATGAAGATACTTTTCATGCATACCGCGATTGTCCACTGCAAAAACGAAAAAACAAAAAAAAAGCGCAATTTCAGCTTATCTAAGATTTCGCGCTTTGCTTTTTGTAAAGCTGCCATGTCAAGTCAAGTTTGTTGTCTGGCAAGGTTATTGCACACGAGAAACGCGAAAAACAACAAACTAAACTCACAAAAAAAAAGCAGAAGAATAAATATCACAAGAAATGGCAACAAACAAACAAAAAAAAAAACAAAAACAAAAAGCATGCGATAATTAAATATTTGATATGTCAGCTGTTTGCTGATGGAATCCGTCGGCGCTACAAAGACAACCAGTTTGCGCGGAGGGGGGAATACAAAACAATAAAATTCACATTGTGCTGTTTTAAAGAGAAAAAGATATTCTAAAGTGGCGCCAACTGTCAACAAAAAAAAATAATAATATTAACAATTATATTACTATAATGTAGTTTTAGTTACTAGTATGCAAAGAAAAAATCAATAATAATTTGTAAATCAAAAATTTGAATTCATAGAAAGCCCCCATAAATAATTTTGTTAGATTCTAAATAGAAGAAATAGACTTTCTTTGAACAGAAACTTTAGTTGCAGAACGACTTATACTATAAATATGCGTACTCTAATTTTTGCAGCTTCTTATTCCGGAACGACATAAAAGAGTTGAACCAATAGTTTTCATATTTAAATAATATTTTACTATACAACAAATAAATTCAATGTAGAAGAATAAAGAATAAGATATTATATGTAGATCCATTTTCTTCAATAGAATATATGAAATTAAATTTAATAGAAGAAAAATAATATTCATTAAAAATTTAAATGAAACCAAAATTATATTTATTCAGTATAATACAAATTTAAAAGATAATCAATATATGAAAATTAATAAGAAAAAAAGTCTTTTATGAGATGTTTGCGGACTTCTTTTTGTACTCCAAATGTTCCGATCTATTAAAGGCTCGACCGCACAGAAGTAGCCTAAATAAATCAAAGAGAGGTTAGCTTAATTAATACAGATGCTTCCTGCCTCCTTTGTGCTTCCTACTCAATCCTTTCGATAAAGTCTTCAATCTGACAGGCATGCCTGTATATATTTACATATGCGATTTCAGATCTTCAGCTCTCTTGGTCCGCACCCCTTATCAGGTAACTGGTTAGGCAGCAACAACTTCCGCAAATGCCTGTGGTCCAAGCTGACCAAGATTTATCACAGCTTGTAAATGCACACACACAACACACACACACACTACACACACAACACACAAGTGCAATTCATAACTCATTTCTTTTGTTGTTTCGTTGCATGAGCAATCACGCAAATGACAGCTCAACTTGTCGTGGCTCACAAAAACAACAACAACAACAACCACAACGAGAACAACAACAGCCACAACGCATATTTTGCATATTAAGCACACGCCAACAACAACAATTGAAAAGCATTTGCAAGGCGATGGCTTGGTATTTGCATTTGCATTAACAAAGTGTGACCAACATTGAAAATGCATCTCGTCCGCGTCGCGTCGCGTCGCGTCTTTATGGAGCAAAGCCAAAGCATTTCATTCGTCTCGTTCGCTAATGAGCTTTATCCATATTTATATGGTTATTATTTTACATAGACAAAGGCTTTGCGATATGCGAGTGCGGAAATTAAATGCGAATGATTAATGAAATCAGCTGAGCTTGGCTTATATGCGGTTTGACAGTTTTGTTATCGATAGCATAAAAATGATAAGCCTGATATCCCTCGTTTATTATCAATTAAGTGTAGCCTAGGCAAAATTTCAAGGTGGCTAACTTGTTCAAAATGATTTCTTGAACATATTTGAATATTTCAAATTTCCATTATCGGTTAACTTATATTTATCGATAACTTCGTTTGTCATTCTTAATCAGTGCACATATCCCGGACTTGGCTTTTAACATATTATCTCAATCCAAATTTCTAGCTGTTGAAACTTTTATTCCCTGTTTATTTAACTTGATGCTATATGATTTTTATGTTCTTTATTTTAATCGATAACAGGATTGGTTATGTTTATAAGGATTATAACTAGAATTTGTAAAGTTTGTCTGAAACTACTTTTATTCTATTGTGGATTTTATAAACATTTATCGATAACATTTATTCTCCTTTTGATAGTCACCTTTTGCGTGCTACCCTTAATCCTTGATCATATTTTCTATGTAATTTCGCTTCTATTTTGATAGAGTTGTCACAGCTCAGTGCTTGGAAATATGCCCATTTATAAGTTTGCTCGATATCACGTTCAATGTGGCTGCATATGCAAATCTCAGACCAATTCCACCCATCCTATTATTAAGTTGTTGGCTTTTGTTACACTATACAGAGTCTTCTTTTCTTCTGCTTTTATGCTATGGTAAGAATCTCCAGCAATATACAATAGCTTCATCTTCTTGCGCGGTGTTTGCTCAACCCAACTCAACCCGTCCGCAACCCACACACACACACACACACACACGGTCTACACCCGAAAAGCAAAGCTCACATGACACACATACCAGTAAACGGCACGCCCCCTGCTGCTGCTGCTGCTTGCAGCCCACAAAATTTATTATCATGTAAAATTTTTGTGCAACAATGCGACAACACAAAAGCTGAACGAACTCGCGGCTACTGTGCAGCTGGCAAGCTAACAGATATCGTCCGCCCCCTACGCCAGCGCCCCTTTCGACGCCCGAACAGTAATTTGTTCTAGTTGATAATTTATTTGAATATTTTGCTTAATTATAACAACAAAAGAAACGGCCACAGAATATTTTGCAACAAATGTTAGCACATTTTATGCAATCTATCTGTATATTTGTGGAATGTATCTGTGAGATACAAAACTGGTCAAGTAAAGTGCTGGGCGTTTAAGTCTGCCAAGTGGCTGGCATTGAGTCGGAGCTAATCACAGACAAAAGCTCGCAAGTGCAGCGCCAAGAAAAATACGCATTCGAATGCCGAATATTAAATACCCTAACAGATACAGGGCTGGCGTACGATATAATACTTTAATCTTAGCCAAAGAGTAAGATTGATAGATTTTTGTTTAATACTTATTGAAACTGAAGTAAATTTAAATTCTAGATGCAAACCGAAGTAGTCTTCTTTAACGCCTTACATACCGCATAAGAAAAGTATAGCATAGTTATCTTTTTAAGGGTATAGAAATGATTGTCGCTAATTAGACCCCTTCTCGCATGACTAGACAAGGCGAATACGAATACGAATACGAATACGAATACGAGTACGAGTCAGATGCCCAAGTCAGACCCCCGTCGCGGCATTCTAAGTTAACAATCCAGTCAAAAAGACAAATGATATGCTTAACATTGAAGCTGGACTGACTCAACTAATTCGACGGGCCCCAAGACGAGGCAGAGACTGTGGCAAGCATTTAAACGCGAGCTGACGACCACTTAAAGTCGATTAACTGAAAGTCTCGTCCGGGGGCTCTGTCTGTGGCTTCTCTCTTCTCACTTCCGTGCATCCCCTCATCATTTATAATTTCTGGTTCTATAATTTTGTACATACGGCATCTGTGGCGACCTGCGCAAGAATCACGCCGCGAGCGATTCAAATCAAAACGTGCATAAATTTCTATGCTTTATGTGTGCCACGCCCTTGCCCCTGCCTTTGCCTAGTTCCAGCTGCTGCTGCTGCTTCTTATGTATCAAACAGTAGCGGCATTCATTAATCAAAGAGCAGTCCATCGACTTTGTATACTCCCCGGGACGAGGGCAGCTACATATTAGTTACACTTTAGCAGGCGGAAGGCGTGAGGCGGGCGCTGGGATTTGGAGATCGGCACATGCCCCACGGGCAAATGCGAGTACTTGGTCGGAGTTATGCATGCCAAGAAGTTGCCTGCCTGCACGCGCGCTAAGCTGATCTTGGGTTGGGTCTGGGGTTGGGTCAAGGTAAGCGCCAAAAGAGCTGAGCTCATCAGAACAGGCAGCGATGCGTCTTTTAAAGTCGTATTTGGGTGTGGTTTCGCCAGCTAGTGACAGACAAGGCCGAGGATTTTGGCCTGATGTATAATGTACATATAGATAGCGCAGCTAATCACCACCTGAAATCATGCATGAATCAGTGCTCTTTTCATGCCTTTCGTCTAATCAAAAGCTTACGCTTTTTACAGCCTCGATAAAATAGCTGAATCAATTTGTGTTTGCATTACAACGCATCGTTGACTGAGTTGAGTTGTGGCAAATATCAACAAGAGACACTTGCGATTACATATTTATTTGCCTTGCATATTGGCAAATTTATGCAAATTTTCATTTATTTAATCAACACGCAAAGTGCGTGTCAGCCGCGAGAAAAATTGTGAAGCTACAGAGCCAAGCGGGGAGTGCTTGCTTTGGCCCAAGGGGCCATTGTACGGCAACAAGGACAAGGACAACAATTTAGAGGAAGGGACATTGAGGGGTAGCAAAATGTTTATTGGCAATTTGTTGTAACAACTGTAGATAACTGCTGAATAGCTATGCATAGCTATGGATGTCAATGGTTACTAACGAACTGAGCTGTTCTCAGAGCCTATGTGTATTTACAAATTGCCATTGTCATCGACATCAACACGCGGCCTGTTGACATGTGTGCGTGTGTGTGTCTTAATGGCAATTGAGTGAGACTTACAGGGAACCTAGAGTTAATAATAATACTATAATCTATAATCTATGGGTTGGTCGCGTAGGGAAAGTATTAAAAAGCGCTTTAAAAATAGCCAAAGGTTGCCAGTTGAAGCGTTCGGTGGGTTAAGTAAAAATATTCTTTAATTTATTCATTAGTAAAATTATTAATGATTATTTTTAATAAATAGACGTATGCTGGTGCGTAATAAACTATGCAACATTTATATATATTTTAGGAATATTTGTTTTAAAGTTAGGTGTGCAAAGTTCAGTAAGACTGTTAAAAAAGAAGTTGGTGGTTCAAAGCGCCTTAATATGTAGTGTAGTCCCTTTTCTTCAGGCGGATTAATATTCTAACTTGTTGCTAGCTAAGCATATTAAATTTATAACCAGGCAGTTAAAAACAAGTTAAATATTTTATAAAACCCAGCTTAAAATTGTTTGGCTAACAAATTTAAGCAATCAGGACCTTAGACAGTTTATAAGTTGTCCGAAGAAAAGGTGAACCTATAAATAATTGATCTATCAAATGTACCCAACGAACTCATTAATTATGGGCGAACTTTTGAGACTTAACCTTTGGCTGGAATTGTCAATCTCTTGAGCTTTGTTCTATGCGACTTTTAATGGACAAGTTTTAAAGTTGAAAGACCTTTGTCGTGACCGCAGTGCGTATTTTAAAGCACTCCAACTTGCAGCCTTACCTTATTTGTGTTCATATGCTGAATCGTTATTGTGTCCTGTGTAAAATGCTGCATTGCTTTGTCAACAGACTCGAGTCAGCTATACGGGGCTCTACTCTATGCTACTATCAATTATGAAAGATACTGTGCAACCGAGCATGAAATTAGCTGCGTGCTGCCGCCCTTCAGTACCCAACCCCCCGTCCGGCTGGTAACCCTGACTTTCATAACGCGTTTATACGTACTCGTTCTCGCACTCATTACACGGTCATCGTTTGCTAGTCACAGTCGATAACATTTCATGTTTATACACAAAGATATGTATATATATAGCAAGTACTTTGCCAGCCTTATTAATTTATGCATTTCTGTTGATTGTCTGCGTTACAGTTGACAAGTTTCCCTCTAGCGTGAGGGTGTGTTATGTGTTCAGTTAGAATTTTTATAGATAGTTAGTTGGGTTGTCAGCTTTATGATGGATAATGAGTAGTTGTAATGGCTGGTTTTCCTTGTTTTTGTTCTTCTTGTCTTTTCCTTGTGGCAGTACGACATTGATTAATTTTAAGAGCCAATAACTAGCTGGCATTATGCATGCTTTTTCTTTTGTGGATGCATATACATATATGTTTTTGCTGTTGGTTCGTAACCCGCTGTCTGGCATTTATCTAATGTTTGTTCACTATTTTTCTTCTTCTTGCAGACGTCGCGGCAATTGCGCAACAAATAACATTTCTGTCTAAAGGTGAGTTCAACTTTCAGCAAAAAGCGAAACAAAATAAAAATGTTAAAAAAATGTAGATACAAAAATATATATACATTTATTTAATAATTAATTAAATTCGGTGTAGGCGTATCGAATGGCCAAGTTCTTATGCAAGAGTTTGTGTAGGGGTCAATCGCTGAAGTCATGGGTTCATTGACCTAGCTCAGGTTTTTCGGCTATATATTTGATGTCTAATGAAGTTTTAATCAAATTAAAATTTGTTTTCGAATTGGATGGTACAAATTAGGCATGCTATTAATTGTATCTGAGAAAAATAATATGAATTAACTATTTTATCTGCTCTGTTATCCTTAACTTTCTTAAAACTAAATTCAAATGTCTAACAACAAATACAGTATTACTTTTATCTAACTTTTAAATTTAAAGTTTTTTTAATTCTCGTTATATCGTGTTTATTATAGTCTTGAAGTCTTAAGTCTGTCCTCCTTACTATTTTCTGTATGGCACACAAATTTCATTCAGATCTAATCTAGCAGCAATCAAGTTGACTGCTCCACTGACCCACTGTCTGACCATACACCGCAGCTGATAGCGTCCTCTGCAGTAGTAAATTCTTTCATAAATACCAACGCCTTAAACATATACAAATGATAAAAACTTTAATAATTTTACTACAAAGTACGAGACAGGGACAGACTGCAGACAGACGGTCCTTATCAGTGCATTGTCGCTGATTATTGACTTTAGATATTTGCCGACTCGGGAGTCAACAGTGCAGTTGCTGACCCAGTTGCCAGTTGCACTTACAATGGCAACTCCTTAATCAGCGCTTTTGAGAATGTAATAGAAAGGCGCGTTGGTTCATTCAACTCGACGCGACAGACACAAGCTGCCTGCTTTGGCATGCAAAAAGTGTAATGCACTGCGCTCGATGATGAGTGCTTCCTGTGTGATAAATACTTGGCAGCCAGGCAGCGTCTGTCCCTCTCCATCCACTGCACAGCACACCGCCCCGCGCCACCCATGTGTCAAGTTATTGTTTGCAACTTCACAGATACTCTGCCGCGAGATACTTTTCTATGGCTGCTGCTAGCAGCTGTCATTGAGCTGGGCTTTTGTTTGGCTTAGCTGTACGCCCTTTCAAGGCAGCTGCGCATTGTAAGGTTTTCCAGTAAAACTGAGGAAAAACTTTTTCATATGCACGCGCACACATACATAAACATGCCCATATTAAGTCTATAGTATATATTTTTTTCTAATTACAACTTTTATGCTGACAGCAGTATTATTGCTCGCCCACTGGGCGCCGTCGTTTTGCTGGGCTTTTGCTAGGCTGCGGATTATTATATTATATTATTTAGCGAATTTTCCACTTGGCGGCGCCTTAATGGACGCGTGAAAGGCAAGCCGATAAACGGCTAGAAAAACTCCGGCTTCTACATGCTACGTGTGGGCGGGCGTGCGGCGTGCATTATTTGACAAGTCGGAAAAAATACGTAGAACACAACATGGGGTCGACACCACAGTTCGACCGGAGCAATTCTAATAGATGCGCACTCCCAACTCTGACGTTTCCTTTTTGTTTTTGTGCTCTAATCTATCGTCTCGCTCTTATGCGTTCTTTTAATATTTTATCCAATTCGCGCGCGCGTAACTTGTCAAGAATTTCAATGAGTTCGTTTCCCTTTCGGTAGTCGGTCGGTGGTCGCTTTGGTCGGTCAGGTTTCTGTGGGCAAGGCAACGGGCAGCAGTATTAAAGTAGAACCTGTTGAATTATTAGTGTGAATCAAAAAACAAAAGAATATAAATAAAATAACAAACATGAAGTAGGTGAACAATGGGCCCATAGTGAAGAAATTTTGTTTAAAATGTAAACCGGATTAAGCTGATTTTACTCCAAAATTTAGAACTGAACTGAAAAATAGGAGCCTGAATATTTCCCTCCTTTCTTTTTAGTGACAAGTATATAAAAAGCTTAAAATATATATCGATAAAAAGAACTATCGTTAAATTTTTGTGTCGGCTTGCCAGCACTGATAGCCTATCGATAACCCTTCGAAGATCCAAATGTAAACGGAGTGTATTTAATTGCATTACATTTATATGCTAGCAATTAAATTGCATGATTTTTTGAGCTTATCGATTAATATACTGCCCCATTTTTTGTATTTATCGATACCCTTTTTAACAATTTCATGACTTTCGATATATTTGTTTTATGTTGCCTTGTCCAATCACTTGCATTGCAAAGCAAACTCTGCCTTTTGTGTCAGCAATTATATAATGCAATATCGATACACTTATACAAATTAGTTATCGACCCATTGTCACCCTCAAATGCTGACTCAAGACAACATTTGGCATTCCCCCAAAAAGTCGTTTGGCAAATGTTTTGCTGGCCACATCCAAATCCAAAATCAAAAGCAGAAACCGAAACGAAACGAAACCAGAGGAAAAAGCCATTTTCCCCCATATGGTTAATTGTTATTTAGTGTGATTGGAATAGCCGGCAACACCTGTGCAGAGCTTTTGCCAGTATGAATAAGCAAATGTTAAAAAAAAAAACGCCTTAAAAATAACTGGAAATTAACTTTTTGTTATGCATTGCGTCACACCAGAAAGCTTAACGCTGATCGCCTCCGGGCTATGCGGCAGCATGTGGAAAGTTGTTGACATTTTATGGGGCCCCCCACCCCACTCGCTGGCAAGTTAATGGGACGGCCCTTTTGCATGTGCCAGCATCGAATTCAAACAGCACTCGGCTAAGTTTTATGGCCCAATTACATGCAACGCTGCGCCGCAAAGAACATTGGGCCAAATATCGCATCCATCACATGCTAAGCTCGCATCATGTAAATTGTTAGCAGCTACAGGTCCGACTACGAGCACGAGTCCGAATCCGAGTTGGAATCAGAGTCGGCCTGCGTCTATCATTAAACTGTCGTAAATCACAAGTAATTGACATTATACAATGGCTATGCGGAGAGATGAGAGGCAGCGAGACCCGGCAGCCAGGCAAATAAGCAACAATTACCTTCAAGATAGCAAACAAAATACACGTAGCAACAATTAAACTAAAGATATCACATGCAAGAGCATACGTAAACGATGACCGTGCTAGCGTAACATTTGGATGCTCTAACTGAAGAGAGTTGAGATAATGTGGCTAAACATTAACATACACGAGGACTGAATATTTGAGGGAATGAAATAGGTTAGGATGTGTGTATTTTATGCAGCTGTTAATTCTAAGTTTGTTTAGCTAAGATTCATTTGGGTTATATAGAGTATTCATATATCTGTGATCGATAAAATTTCAAACAAACTTCCTTTAGACTCCACACAATTCTTTAGTAGATCACAAATAAAGCATTATACACGTATCTGATGCATTTACCCAAACAGTTCGACATTTGGCGTGGCAGCTCGACTATTTGGCATAGATACGACTAAAGGCGTAGCGCGAATATCTTGAGATTGCGATGCTCACAGAATGAAATGCACAATTAAAATGCAACAGCAGCAGCAACAACAACAAGTGGAAACAATGGACGTACGTCTGGTATTTTTAGACTGACACACTAAACAAAAGACTGGCAGAAGGCAGCGCCTCCACCCTCCACCCTCAACCTCACCCACACCCACGCCCCCAACCTTTCAACAGAATGTTAGAATAGACAACATTATCGCAGTCTTTGTCCGAAGATTACGAAATGCAACGGCGGCTGTGAATGTGCCTCCTCGTAATTATATATAGAATTCGCGCACGACACTTCATTTGTATGGGGTTGCGGAGAGAGGGGGGATCGTACTATATACATATATATATATGTGTATAGAGCACATAGACGTAATCGTGTTAGCTAATTGTCACAGATGACGCTGCAAATGCAGCCGAAGGTCTGCCAAAGGTGGCCAAGGTTTAATAATATCGCATAAATATATATACATAATCAAGCTTATCAGGCATAGATCTATATATAGAAATATAATAAAGGGTATTGGAAAAACATGAATAAATCATATAAACTGACGTTTCGCACGTTGTTATCGGTTAATATTGAACAGGAAATCATTCAACATGCGCCGTGGGGTTGAGAAAACCAAACACGCAAATTGTATGTAAATAAAACTGATTGTTCGAAAAATCATCATCGAAAAGAAATGACGCGTTCTTTTGGTCTCAGGGTGTTGTCTCTCAATGGGGCATTGCTCGATATGAATATTTGCAAATTAATCGCCTATGCAAGGCTTTTGTGAGTGTTTAGTAAACTATTTGCGTGGTAGATTTTATAGAAAAACGTGAGTTAATTGTGGTTGTTCTAGGTATTGAAGAATTATTATTTCTATTCTGCAAACTTTTGACAGCTGTCCAATAATCAAGACTTATTTCGTTTTCTTTCCTAAATTTGTGATGGTTTTCTTGTTTATATTGAATTATGAATAATTATTTGAAATACTAGAGAATATATTCTTACAATGGGTTTATAATCTCAACTTTTAAAGATGGAAATCTTTGAGTTATTCTTTAATTTTGTATCTTTAAAAATACGATTTATTCATTCTCACATATACTTAAAACATTGACAGCAGCAGTTCGCAAAGGGCAGAAGTATTCTTATTAATTTTTAAAATTTTTAATCCCAATTAATTAACTCTCTTTATTATATTAGTATTAAATAAATTACCCATTCAAATTTCAATAATTTCCAATTTGTACACACTTAGCCAGATTCTACATATAGAAATGAATGCTATTAGTTAATTTCACCCTCTCGCCTTTTGTCGCTATAACTTTTCCAACTCTGCGGAACACATGTTCCTGTCATTTGTCCAAGTTGAACATCAATTGCTTCTATTTCTCTTGCCGCCACATCTATCAGCACGTCAAGTAGTAAATTTTCAACTAATTTGTCAAATGTGTCATAAAAATGTTTAAAGATGGGCAACACAGAACTATGTGCAACATTAAAAAAACAACATGTGGGCCACACACACGCAGAACCAGGAAACGGCAAACTGCAGTCAAACAGCAACAACAACAAAAAATCAGCCGCCAATTTACGAGAGGCTACACTAAACAAAAAAGAGGTAAAAACAAAACAAAGTTCGAAGTGCAGAACCCCCGAAAATGGAAAGAAAAAAAAACTAATTGCATTTCCTGTGTGTAGGGGAGACATAATTCCATTTGAAAAAGTCATAAATTAACAAAACAACTTCCGATAGAAAAACAAAGCAAAACACAACACACAAACGAATGAAGCACGAACAACATGAGGGGCACAACGAGCGGAACAAAACAAAAAGTTGTCAAAGGGTCGACTCAACAACAACAACAACAGCAACAACAACAACAACAACAACTTGCAATGCTGCAAAGTGGCAGCAACTCCCCAGCCAATTGAACTATGGAAGAATGCATGCAGGCGGGTTGCTGCATAGAGGGGGGGGGGGGGGGGGCTTGTGTTAGGCCGTTGTCGGAGAGCCGTTAAAGCGTGACGCGCCGAACCACTTAACCGCTCTATATGCAGTCTCTAGCCCACTGATGATGGGGGGACCCCAATTCCCCAACTTGCCAGCTCCAGCTGTGGCTGACCGCCTGCCACATATTTCATCTAGAATCTTGAATCTCTCTCCCCCTACTTGCGACCAGGGCATGTTAATGAGTTCTGGCTGCTGCTGTGCCTTGTTGGATACCCTCTACTCATTAAAAACGACTGAAAGATAGGGTATACATATTTTTGTTCTATATACATACACACATTCCCACATACACACGTTCACATTGTATGTGAACTCTCAAATGTCATCTTCAATTGCAAAACGTTTTTATAAGTTATTTTGGGAATGTATTTTTTAAGGTTAGAAGAAGTCATGTTTTTATAAGTGCGAATATCTGGAAAGGCAAATAGAAGCTGGGTACAGGGTATCTCCAAATCGGGGATACTCTTCGCTAGTACAACCGCACTTGTTGCTGTTATTCTTGTTACTATCTCTGCTTAATTTTTATGCTCCGTCTGTAATGAAATTCGAATTCCTGGCCTCTGGAATCTGCATAGAGACCTGCACGGTACTGAGTCATAATGTGTTTTATTTCCGCGCTGCCATTAAAAAGTAAACCGCATTTTATTGCGCCTTCTCTCTAGCGCACTAATCAACGACATCAAATTATGTTTCCACAAAAATTTTTGCTGAAACGGTTTTTCGAGTTAAAAATCCAGAGAAAAAAAAAGAAAAATAAAATAAAGAACCATATTCTGAAGACATTTTAATAGGCTAGTTAGAGTAGAGTCGAGTGCTCGCTGAAGCATGTAAAAATACGACAACGAGAACTTACATAAATTTTACCAGCCTGAGAATGTGCACGTAATAGGCTCCATCTAGATGGTAATAGCTGATGTTTAGTGAGACGAAACCGAATATTATAATGTGTTGACTTCTGCTGTGACATATTATTGGTAGAGTTTTATGATACGCCTGCAGAGAGCAATATAAGTTGGGCAGGAAATGTGTGCGACGCAGGAAATATAACTGAACACATGAAGTATATATTAGTAATTCCGATTTAATAGTTTATAGGAAAAATAAGATTTATAGTGTGTTCAAATGTAAATTTAGCTTTTATTTATTTTGAAGTTAGGAAAATAGCTCATTTAAGTCTCGGGTTAGAACCGGCGACCTTACTTCTGCTTCTTTAGTTGTCAGCGGAACGATTAGCTAAAATTCTTTATTATAATTGCTTTAATTAGAAATTTTTAATGCTACATTGCCCCCAGTTATTCTCTTAGAATTAAAGTCTTCATTTCATGATTGATTAAATGAAAATTTTCTAAATTTGACTTTGATATGCACTTAGTTTTCAGGCACGCGGCAATTAGTATTCCCAAAAATAATTTCATTGCGCCGAGTTTTCCATTATACAATTCTAAGGTGTGTCTGTGTGTGTGCCATATTGCAGCATTTTCAATTAAATTGTTTTATTTTT